TGTTCTAAAACAATAGGTTGAATTTATGTAAAATTATGTCATCACAAACACATCAGAGTGATAAAACTTTACAAAGAGACTCTCCTAAAAATAGTTATTTATCTACTTTGACTGCCTTCTCAATTATATTAGGTTTTGCAATTCTAATTGGAGTAGGATTAGAGAATTAATAAATGATCCAATAATTTCAATTTCAATCACAGTCACTCATTCTATTAAACCCTTTTATTTGGTTCACACATAACTCTTTGGCTCGTCTATGCTCTCTATGTTGTCCATAAAGTGTTTTAAAAAGAAAATTAAAAAAGAAAAACAGTTATTTGATTAGATGTACCTATCTTAATGAGTGCTTAATGTGCTTATTAACTTGGAAAACATAGAAAAGAAAATATGATCATGCGTTTTGGTTCTAAATTTAATCATCTCAATTATTCCTCGATAATACTTATATCAAATTTATAAAATCAAATTCATTTCAATCTGCTAATGAAGATGTTATTATGTGTATGATTTAAACAGATATTTACAATGATTTTATAAAATTATTATCACCATCCTAACAATAAGCAATAGAATATCAACATTCAAAGGAGCATGCGAGTATCTAATTTCTAGTTGTCAGAGAGGATTAACAAAAAAATAAAGAACTTAAAGAATAAGACATATATGATGAAATTGAGGCATTAATTAGTATTTCAAACAAATAATATCAAAAATAAATTATTTTAGAAGATTCAAAAAAGCAGGAAATAGGAAAAGAACAAATATTAAAAGAGAAATTTTATTTGTTTGAAAAATTAATTTATTTATACACTAGAGATGAGATATTTCAAGTCTTTAATTGGTAATTTGCTTAGCATAACTATTAAAAAATTAAAAATATTATTCTCTGTCTTTATCAAAGATTTAAGTAAAATTAATTAAAACAATATAAAATTTTTTTATCTTTTTTTAGAGGAATTTATTTTGATTCTAAAGACATATTTGACAAATTATCTAAGATCCATAATCTTCATAAAAGGATGGAACATCTCTTTTGGAATACAATTACTAGTGCGTATTATAATTTTTGTTCAAATGGCAATTATGGAATATTTTATTAACTCCTATTGGATTAAGATGTTCCTCATCCATGTTTTAAATTATAATTGTACCATACCCATTATCCAGAAGAGGAAGAAGTACTACTATTCCCATAATTTGAATTTATTGTTTAAGAAACCAATAGTATTTAATTAGAACCCACTACAATCTATACGGTTACGATTAAACAAGTAACTATGCATTTTCACTTTATCCAATATTGAGAAGATTTATTGGGAAAAAATTAAACTAAAGATTGAAGCACTAGGAAATTTTTAAAGTAAAAGAATTTTTAAATTGATATCAATTTTTGCTCGAGAATTTGAAGATTAAGAAATATGGATGAAATTCTTTTTATAATTGAAAATGAATTTTTGAATGTGTTTGGATAGATTCAAATTTAATTATCCAAAATTCTGTCATTCAAATTACACTGATGTTTTGAATCAAATTGTAAAGCTCACTAAAACATATACCTAAGTTCT